AAAAAAAAAGGGAAATTACCGCATAGTGAGAGAGAGAGGGGGCAAGAATTGCCATGGCATGAGAAGTATTGCTTTGTTTGAATGTTAGAGGATTCACGTCAACTTAGCGGATTGTACCTTATTTAGAGGTTTTGAACCGTCAAATCTGATAATCCACTAACTTTATTCGGTAATATTAGGAATAGTATTTTACATTTAATCTTTTATAGTATTGGTGTATGTAAAGTTTCTATAACGAAAATAACACTTTTAATTATTTTGGACCAAATATAAATACTTCTCCGTAAACTACCGCGCAGTAGTTTGATTGCTTCTTCTGATACAGAGTCTTCCCCTTCGATGGGGGCTCAGCACTCAACCACCCCTGTCCCAGATGAAGAGGAGGCACCATTTCAATTAGTGGGCAAGAAGGTAACACAATTTATTCAGTCTTTTCATTCTCAGTACACAAAATCCATCGTTCCTTTTTTGCTCTTATGTTCATTGATGATGAGTCTTGTCAGGTAATGAGTTTATTTGATTAGCTTTTTCAAATCAAAAAACTAATTTTTAAAATTATACACGTGCACTTCGAATAATTTTTCAACACCAAATCCAATCGTTATCAATTTAAAATAAACAATTTATTTAGGGTTTTGACTCTAGAATTTTACTAAGTGAAGAAAGTCCAGAGATAGAATACGTTAGCCTTGGAATTGTAATCTCTCTCTCTCTCGCGTGCGTGTCTCCTTCCACAAAATCGTAAAAGGCAAAAAGGCCCAATTTTAACCTAGCCTCTTTAATGGCGGCCTTGTGCACCAATTTGCGGCAAGCACTTGGCCAGCCCAGGGCCTGGCGATACGGCACTGGACGGTCCCGATCTTCAAGCATCGCCATATTGGGTGCAATGGGGCAGTCGGTGTTGGTGGTGGTGTTCGATGGACGCCGACATAGCCTTGGTTTTCTCCTCTGCCGACCTTCTCTGGTGTTGGGTGTCGGAAAATCAGTAATATAAATTTGGGTCTGACCCGATATTGACTGATTTTTTTATGGCTAAAGATTTAATTCGAGCTGAATTAAATTATGTAGAAAAAATTTTACGTTCCGAGTAGAAAATCGTGGTATATTTAATTTCTCAATACTGATTTTCGGTGAGTGAGAAATAAATGTTAGCCATAAATGGGCACGCAGAACGTTGGTTGTGGGATTCGAATGGTCAAAAGTCTTATCTCACATAGAATTCTTAAATGAGATTAACTCTCTTTATTATGATAAAGAAAGTTGTAGAGATCACAACAATAACAAAGTTATGTACCAAATGTTGGTACATAAACCGAGTTGGTTTTGGACTCAGGTTTCGACTCAACCCGTGTGATATCGTTCCATGTACATTGAACCTGGACGTGTGACCTTTCAACCACATAACGGTTTCAGGAGTTATGAGGTTAATTAATGGTGAGTTAAACCTGAAACATTTTGCAATTAAAACCAAGCCATGAATGGTTGTTAATGGAGCCATGAATGGTTGTTAATGGCTTAGTGGTTACAAAGTTTGAATAGTCATCAAAACCATCCATGAATGGCCTTTAATAGCTTAGTGGTTACAAAATGAAGAGTCATCCCCACCTAGGTGGAAGTCCTATAAATAGGACATTGTAGAGAATAGAGTGAAGACACGAAACATCTCATTTGCATTCTCAATTCTCTCATCTCTCATAACCTCACGCATACATAGTGCTCAGTTCTCGTCTATATTCCTGTTCACCAGAACTCTGAAGACTGGTGTGCTACAGCTTCTGAGTGTATATCCGTTGTATCTTTGGGGACATTACGCACAGACCCGTCAGCACTACACGTGGCGTATTTGTCTTGCAGAAAGATTTCAATCGTCTCGGCTTTAATCTGTCCGCATAGTTCATACTGTACGAACTGAACTCTTCAGTCAGTTTATAGGTTCCTGTTGTAATCAAAACACATATTGTGTAACATTGGGAAGGTCGGCCCCTCAGGTGGCACTCGTGCTTTGGTGCGGCAGCTCCGAAGTGTGAGTGGGGAGGTTGTGGAGTGGGCCGACTTGGATTGCATCCGGATCTAGTTAGCCCAATAGGGGAGTTTCTAGATCCGTTTGTTTGGGCCGTGGATCTTGTGGTTTCACTCGGTAGTTTCGTGTTAGGTGTTGGCTCGAAATGGAGTGGTGCTGGGAGCTCCGTCCGGTGGGAAGGGCTTTAGAATTTTCTCTTTTTAGCTTTTGTTTGTTTAAGCGTTTCTTTTTTTTGTGTTGGTGTTGTTCTATTCGTGTTTTATTTTGTTCTATCTCGTTGGGAGTGTGTGTGGTGTATTCTCCTGTTGGGAGTTTTTGTTTTTCTTCTCCTTTTAGGATTTTTTTAGTTGTGTTTTCGTGTAGGTTGACTTTAGGTTGTCGTCGGTATGTACGTGTAGTTTTCCCTACTAGAGTCAGCTGTTCAGCTCATTCGACCGTTTTGCTATAAATTCAGCTGGATAACTGTTCTCTAGTCTCGTTTTGTGTTGTGAATATAAGTGATTCCTATATTCAAAAAAAATAAAAGAAAAAAAAAGTCTATAGATAAACAATATATCCCAAATTCAGAATTAATTGAGTTTTTTACCGATTTAAATAAAATATAAAATTCGTATCACAGATAATTAACTACACAATCACAAAATATATAAATTCAACTCTTAATAATTTTGGAAAAAAGAAATTGCTCAATAATAATATCTCATGATTGATGGGGATTTCAAAAGTTATCTTGATGGAATATTATGATTTTTTGTCAAGCCATACATCAAGTCTATAATAATTAAACAACTTTAATTTATCTCTTGTAATTTCTCGAAACCCTTTCCTCTCTCTTGCAGAAGGCGATTTGTGCCGCTCCGGCCTCCTCGTCGACAGCGAGGCTCGAGCCTGTGGTCGCCGTTGACCGGTCGTTCCATCCCTAACGTCGCACCTTCCCCCTTTCGCTGCAGTTTTTGGAGATGGATTTGCCACCCTCGGTCGTCAACGAGACTCCGATTAGGGGGTGGGCCCTCGATTTGAGTCCGATGGTCCACGGGTCTCTGATTGGAGGGGTTTTGCCCCTCGATCTTCCTCTTGTTTTGCGTTCGAGGACCTCTGGTCGCCTCTGGCGTTGGAGCCTCCGGGGGTAGTGCGTGGGTCCATTTTCTGGCAGTTTGTGGCGAGATTGGGTGGTGGGGGACTCGGTGGACAGAACAGGACCCTGGTAGCTGCGACACTCGGTGTTGCGGATGCTGGGATTGTAGGGCAGGCTACTCTCACCCCATTGGTCCTCTGTGTTGGGG